GGTACTTTAAGTTTTTATGTAATTTTCTGTCTGACACAGAAAATATTAGATCCTTAGATAAGATACTAGTACTTAACCACAAAAAAGGCTTGTGACAACTCACCCAGTTGGCGACACTCAGCCAATACAGCCTGGCCACCAGCATTGAGAATTGCTCTTGGCACAGAACCTAGAACACAAGGAAACTCAAAGATGTTAGTAGATGCTATAAGGAATTCAAAGTGTCAGCATCTAATGCAAGTCATCAAGCAGTCACATAAATGATTCCTTACCCATGGTGAAATCCAGTTTTGCATTGGTGGGGTTCACAATGGCATCTGTCCTGTCTTTGGCGATGTTCCCATGCTGGACATGGAGACAAACATGTCCGATCTGAACCTCGTCTGTCATCGGTTGTGGACTGGACGAACCGCTGGACACACCTGCTGTAACCAGAAAGAATCGGTGAGGCTTTTAATGAGTCTTCAATACAAATCTGCATTGCTGTCATTGGTATCACATTTTGCCATCACATGCTTGTAGCTAAATTTCTGTTGTTAGTGTTATTGTTTAGGTTAGGGTTAGGGTTGAGGTTAGGGTCAGAGTTGGGAATAGGTGTCCCCTTGATCCAGCAAACTTTCTAGACAGAAAACGTTTATCAATGATTTGTGAAACTTTTCAGATGAGATAATGATCACAATTTATCAAGATATAGACCACGATTCTTAACAGTGTCAGATAACAAGCAACATGTACAGTCATGTAACGTTATATCTGAAAAATGTGTGTTGCACACACATATCAACAACTGCAGCCGACAACTATTGTTATCATTTGCATTGTAATAACTACATTCTGCATTGAACGCAGCCCCAAAAGACTGACAATGTTGTACTACCTTCCTCTGGGTGCAGTTTGTGTGGAACGCTGGAGAATGGTTTGGGTGATGCTGACAGGTCCCTGTCGGGGGTGAGGGAACCTTCTGAGCCTGACTGTAGGGTGCCACCCTGACGCTCCAGCTCTGTCTCGAAGGCCTGCAGAAAAATGGTACATCGCTCAGGCTTCATACAGACAACCACTCAGTTATTGTTATCACCAAGATTTTGTACATTGCATCAAGAAGAATCATAATGTGCTTGAATAAGTAGTACCAACAGGACACAAATAGCTATAGGCAGTTCAAACTGGCAAACAAGAAAAAAAATTTTGCCCCAAAAAAAGTTACTGAAGCAACTGGATATGATTTTGGAAATGGTCAAATGAGAGTAAATTTGCCTTCTTTTTTTCTATAAAAGCAAGAGAAGGAAACATGCAATTATTGAAAAAGAAAACACTTTTGAAAATGATTGACATGTGGTTCCTTTACCTGGACTGTAGCATGGTCCATGCTGTACACCACAAAACGAATGTCTTTGACCCCAGAGTCAAGGTTTTCCTTGCTGAATTCCAGAACCTCTGCAAACATGACCTTTGCCACCAGGTCACGAGGGAAGTCCAAGGAGCCGGTCCCAATGGCTGGAAAGGCAATGGACTCCATCTTGGACTTCTCTGCTTCTTCAAGACACCTCCAGAGGATAGTTTTCAAATCCTGGATATATGGAAAGTAAATGTATGTTGGAAGTGTCTGATTGTCACAACGTCTTTTGAAAGAGAGTTTCACAACTTAACAGTTCATTCATCAGTCTTGTGATCTTGAAGTGTGTTTCACCTGAAGCAAAATAGGCTGCAATTAAAGTATGGTTGAACATACCTCAATTCCACCCCCCGTGAGTCGATCATAGCGTGTGCATACAGCATGGTAGACCTGTTTGCAGGGTAGCTTTGCCGGGTCGGTGATGATGACTTCTCCTGTGGGCACGTCCCCTGTATGGGTGTTTGCTCGGTAACACAGAGACTGCAGCTGGGGACCAGCAACCTTCAGGACACTTTTAGACACCGAGCCTGAATTCAGATTCAGACCAGGCTGTGTTGTGTTGACGATTACGTTAACCTGGAAAACAAAAGAGTGGTGATGATAATCTATGGCAACTTTCCAAGCCACCTTTATGTTTTGGGAGCTCTCCTCTCTATATATTTTATTTCTTCCAGTCTCTATATCAAACATTTTATGCAATACAAAATGTTATTCACAAAATATCAAAGAAACATCATTCTGTATTTAGACAATAGTGTTAAAACTGATCATTCAGTCTAGAGTGTCTTTGAGTTACCATTTGCTTAGCGATGCTCCCTTTAACCAGTGTAATCTTCAGGCCCTGAGGAGTTGTCAGGGCACCTGCTGTCACATCTGGCAAGTCGAGATCTTCTTCCACAATCTGCTTCTTCTTCCTTGTAGCTGTCTTTGGGGGTCCTGATGACTTCTTTGGCTCCTCCTGTTTGGCTGTTGCTGCTTTCTTTGTGGTGGGAATCATCTCCACTCTGTCGCCGAACGTGGCGACCAACGACTTATGAAACGCTGCTACTTCTAAGGAGTTGATACTGATGAACTTGATCTCCTTGATGCTCGTGTCGCTGTTCTGAAGACAGAACTCGACGGCTGCGTCTGTTACGCCCCTGGCGCTGATTTCTGTCGGGAAGCCGAAAGACCCAGCTCCGATGGGCGGTAAGGCAACGACTTGTGGTCTCAGCTCTTCTGACAGCTCCAGTGCATGGAGAACCAGTTCAAATAGCTGGGTCTCCTCCTAGTTAAGAATTAATTCATGGAAAGATAGGATCAAAACCAGATCTTGAAGAGAAACCACAAGCACAACTGTAATAAATTGGAGATTTCAGACTTCCAGCAAGTATGCAATCCCTGGCTTCCTGAATTCTGCCCTGTTGACCTATAGTTCCTGCATCCTCCTGACCAGATTCTGAGACCTTTGACCTCCTGTCAATCGTTTCCTACCCATGTTCTGTCAACCTACTCCTTCTGGACAGATACACAAACACACAGCTCAGCCTCTCAAAACAATACTTTTGTACCCAGAAGTAACTAGTGCAGGCTACCAGGACGTGTGACAGGCTGAATAAAAGTTCTAAACGGGAACTATGCGGCTCCAGATGTCTTACTGAGGGACGACTGCGTGTGCAAGATGTCGGTAGCTTGAGGAATGAATCCCCTCTACTATATAGTGCAGGCTAACAGGACTTACCGATGTGGCATCCTCTGTAGTGACCTTGTCCATGGAATGAGGCCAGCATGGCACCACAGCATGCAGTATGTGTTTACAGGGGAGGTTCCCAGGGGACGTCTCCACAACCTGTCCTTCTGACAAAGCTCCGTTACTTCTGATGTATTCCCTGCACTCATGCTGGATGCGATCACCACCTAAGTTTACATTCAACATGATTAATACACAGATCGCTAATGTAACAGGTTCTGAAATACCTGACTGTCTGACAGATAAAAGCATCATGTTGTGAAAAAAATTGATATCATATTTATTTAGTAATACCTAGAATTCTAATGGCTTCCCCAAGGGCTCCAGGCAGCTCCAGTTTTGCACTGGCTGGTGTGATCATGACATTGACAGGGTGCCTTGTGATATCTCCCTTGCAGATGACAAGCCTTGTACCATTGTCCATGATAATGTGGGAAATCTCTTCTACCGGCATCTGCAATTCTGGAACTGAACTTGTGAGTCCTCTCCTTGCATCATTAGGTATGGGGGAATCCCTACTTGACAGTGAATCAACATTGCTCTTTGACAATGCCTCATCCAAGGGTGTTATCACATCAATTTTGCAGTGATGCAGATGTTCAACGACAGACAAGAACTCCCTTCCTCCTCCTTCAGTGAAGTATGCAGGCATGCCCGGCTTCTCCACTGGGAGCTGGCGACTTAAGATGCCCTCTCCTAACTCCTTGAGCTTCTCCACTGCTTTTGTCACCCCTTCTTCTGTACCTTCGATGCAGAACCCACTGTCAATTCCCCTTGTTTCTCTGGAAATGTTCACAGACATCTGCTTCAGATCTCTCTCAATGTCTCGCAGTTCACTGACGCAGTTTTCTTTCAGAAACCGTGCACGTCCGTTTTCCATTGTGAGGAAAGTGTCCACTACTGTATTTGTCTGCAAAAAGGATTCGACCTGACCTACAACTTCAGGAAGAAACTCGACAGCTCCCACCAGTCTCAACGTCACCAGCCCACCTTGGTCGTCTTCTTGAATCCTGACCACCATGTTGTCTTGGACACCCTTAACAAACTCTTGCCATGCCGCTGTACCTAATGCACTCTTACTGGGCTCATCAACTGGGATGTTGTGTTCAACAACTGTGTTCTGTAGAACTTCTACTGCCCTCTTAGCATCAGTCTCAGACACTCCGGACACAATCACCTCATTGTTCTCGACAGCATAGACTGCTGTCAAGCCATCCTTTCCGATGCAGTTGTGCAGAAACTGTGAAGCGTTCGCATCTTGTAGAAACTGTTGGACATTCTGCGAGGGCTTGTAGGAATGTTGAACAAGATTTTCAAGCTTTTCGTACATTTGTACTTTGACAATGTCAATGTCATGGACGAATCCCTTCAATGTGATCTCATTGCTGTTTGCATCCACTGCTACTTTCAAAGAGGGAAAAGAGTCTCTCAGTAACTGGAAGAAATTCCCCATGACCATGATCTTTATCCTTTCCGGAGTCATCGCCAGTTTCTCTGTCACGACGCGCCTCCCATTCTTTGTGTCTTCCTCCACCTGTCTGACCACCTCTGTGATTTTACGTTCCACATCCAGCACGTCCTTGGACAGTCCAGAGATGAGCAAAGCATGGTTGGTTGGATCATCCTCAATTACAACCTTGTCTGAGGGAGGGAGTAGAAGGTTGCCCACTCGTGATGTCACAGACTTCCACAGACTCCCCTGGACAAGAACCTTGCGAAACTCAAATGCTGAAAGGAACGTTTTCAAAGCTGTGTGGACTTTGGAGTCCCAGTCCCGTGTGACAGATGTGGCGGACTGGGTCTCTTCCGAGGCTGTACAGATGATTTTCGTGAGTGCTAGGTTCCCTTCCACCGGCCACTGCAGCCGTGCCTGCTCCTTCTCCAAGCTTTCGTTCAGGCAGTCTTGGTGTTGTTGGTTGGTCATGACGAATCTCATCACGTGATCATCTACAGGGCAGGTTACTGGTTTAGGAATGGACAAGGTAACAGCCTTAACCTTTGTTGCTCTGCCAAGATGTGGGAAGTACCGATCTACATTCAACTGCATGCCGTCCAATGTGTGGGCCTGGCTGACTACTGCTTCCACAACTGCAAAGCAAACAGATAGATGCATCAACATTCAAACATGACAGAAAAGCCAAAATCATTGCCAAAATCATGATCCAACTTAGTGGTTATTTAGAAAAAAAATCATCAAATTCAGTAATTGTGCTTATGGTCAGGTGATTGAAGAAGAAAACGTTATCCCAGTGGCTAACAATATACTTTTATTGAAGTGTTGTCCACCAAGCATATTAGAATTATTTAAAGGAGCTTTACACAGAAACTAACCACAATGGTCTTCAAAATGGATGATTGCTGAATTGTCCACAGGAAGAAGGTCCACTGCAAGAACATATCCTCCGCCACTTCGCCGTTTGTTCTCAAAGTGAAGCGTCAGTGCATCAGTGGACACGTCTGCAGGCAGGTTGGAAACTTTGATGCTGTCTGCAACATGCAGCCTCTCAGCCCTGACGTCTGCACCATCCAACTGCCGCTGGCTGCATCTCCCAACAAAACGGTCAAGTTCTGCAGAACACATTCACATAGGGCTGAATTTGTCGTTTACTCCAGTCTGTTTTATTACAAAATAGCTACGTGATCATGGTGTGCACTAAAAGGTAATGATGATCACTCAGTAGATATGCTGTCCTGATTTTCAGCCAACTGAAAACCAACATTTTAATTATAACCTGCATGTGCTCTGCCAAGAAAACATGTAAGTCAGAGGAAGGTCAAACCAAATATCTTTCTCTTGTATTTTGACTGGTGCACTACACATTGTACATTTTAGATCTCTTTAGAAGTTTGATGTTAGAAGAAGTTAGAATATAATCTAAAAGGAACCCATAAGTAACCTCCATTACCATTTTACTTTGCTCTGTTACATTTATCAGCCACTTTCAAAAGCACTCAGTATGTCTGAGAGATCTCTATTGCAGTGCCTGCCAGGTATGTAGTGCCTGCCAGGTATGCACTGAGTTTAGATATACATGAGTGCATTATAGTGGGGGACGTTTTAATAGAGACATGTTTTGAATGATGCATTTTTCTAGGGTGGTGGATATATGTGACCTGGCAGAATTATGCTAGTAGATGTTACAAACCGATGTGTTCGAAGAAAGTGACCAGCACCACGCCGGATTCTTCAGCGTACAGGAACATGATGTCCTCCTCTGCGCCGCTCCGGTTCTCCACGTACAGACGGAGGGTCTCCTCAGTTGTGGTGTCCTTCACCCCACGCAGCAGGACACGGTTCGTGTCCAGCGGGAGGTTGCGATGTTTCCCTTTCTGCTTCAGACTCACGGACTTGACCGTCAGCACAAATTCGTCCAGCACATGAGGACCACGAGCGATTACACTGTTCACAACTGTTGAGAGATGATATGAAACTTAACCTTTCCTAATCAAGCATCATGTAATATTTTGTGACTCTAACGGATGCACAGTTAAAGAATGTAATTTATGTAGTTCTCTGATCAACATTACAATACATTTAATGAAGGATGCTAACAAGTTGTTTTTACAGAATAAATTTCATATGAAGAATTCAGTCAAGCAATGGTACAGACAAATGCATGCATTGTCGTGTGTTTAGTCAAGCATTCATGTGTTACGAAAGTCAACAGCCTGGAAGAAGAGTTTCTAATTGGTTTTAACTGTTGTTTGATCTTTCCCAATCATTGAAATTAAAGTTTCTACCTCATAATGAAGTGTTACGGAGTAATTTTTTACTACCTTGATAACGTGACATGAAGTAATCTTAAGTTGTCACATCAAAGTTGTTTTTACAGTTACATTAATTTGAAGTGGCAGGGTGTGTATTAGCCCTAGGGGTTTTGAGCACTGCTTAATTCTGGTTCACACGACAAGTCAAATTTAGCAAGATCTAAGATAAGATGACACCAGCCTTAAGGAAGATCTTATTATTGCCCCATCGTACTAATCATACTTTGACAAATAGTTTTCAATAAAAACCTACCTCCTTCATTTTCAAAAGCGATGAGTGCAGTGTCCCCTTTCCTTTCAAACTTGAGAATCTCCCCTCCCCCTGACCTTCTTTTGTTCTCAAAGTACAGCTGCAGTGTGTCATCAGATGTTTTGGGGCTGATGTTGTCGACCTCTATGATACCTTGGACCTCCTCGTCAGTCTCGTCTGAAGACAAAGATATCGATGTTGCTGACATTAAGTACATGAATTAGATGGTTACAGTGCATGGTACATGTACTTAATTTGAGATAATTGTAAACCAAATCAAGATAATGAATTACTTATTACTGTAAAATAATGTTGAAATAGTCATGGTGGTTTTATTTTTGCAGTGACGGCTTGCTATAAAATCATGACACTGCAAACGTGTTCTTTATTTCTGCTTTACTACAAAATTGTTTAAACTGTGAACAAACACACACAAAAAAAACATTTCCCCTTCTAACATATTAAGTCTCAGCTAAAATTAATAAACCCACAGTATCATCATTAGAGCATTTTCCAAAGCACTTATCTTCAGTAAAGCAAATGATCAACTTGCAAAGGAAAGTCACACGCACAAAGCAAAGTCACATATTCGTCAAGTATTCAACATATCAAAGTTTCCCTGCTTACTACAAAACACCAACTGTTACACCAGTCAATACGTACCACTGGAACTTCCCCCAGGCACAAAGGAAGGCATGGTGGAAGATGCTTTATTTTCTCTTTCTCCGTTAACTTCTGGGTGGTTGCTGGCCAGACATTTAGAAGATGTTCTGGGGTAGGAAGTTCCAGCTCCAGGTGATTTTGAATCACTGGTGTTCACGGTCTGTAAATTATGCAAGACTTAGTAAATCTGTAAAAAGGAATTATTGGATTTATTGAACTAACATGATGTACACAGCAGTGAAATCATTTTCATAATGGCATAATGTTAGATGTTTAGATCATTGTTACAATCTAAAGAATTAGATCCTTTGATTCTATATGAGGCCATATGCATGCTAAATTAATGTCTTCAGCATATGTAGCCCTAGCTTCAATGTATTCATTCTATTCAGGTTTGTCATTACATGGTTTTGATACTGGAAAATCTGACCTTTTCTCCATTTCTTTCAGTTCCTGCTTTGGAATTTGATGAGAGAAGGGATTGGTTCATGATAGGCTGTTCCAACGGTGTTACAGTCAGGGTCGTACACACCACTGCCTTCTTCTTGTCCAGGTACACCCTGTGCTTTCTCCTACTCAGAACATTGGCTGCAGCTAATAACACAGAGGGGAGAGAGGGAAATGTGAAGCCCACCACAGGACCAACCTTGTAATCAGTGTGACACCCCAAATGAATGTTTTGTTACCAGATCACTTTGTAAGGGATCTATTTTACGAGCAAACTAGATGTTATGAATAGGTGGCATTGAAGTGTGAAAGGTGGGAACTCAGATTTACTCAACTGTATGAGGTTTCTGACTCTCTCTTATTTAGCCTTGCTTTGAAATGTTAAACCTAATCATCTTCATCCCATATTCTTTGTAAAAAGGAGGACAGATAATACCTGCCTTTTATTCATCTGTTATTTTTATAGTGCCTGGCTGGTTTGCCAACAAAAACCTCCCACACCTGACTTAAGTACACCCTGGGGCTCATGATTTATTCAAGATAAGAAAATGTTTCAGTTTTAAATGACAGACCTTGTATGTTCTACCAAGTAGAGGGATTGGGGTTGAATTTCTAATCCGTGTGTTCTACCGTAACCTTTCACAACCTGACATTGGTATGTTTATCTGGAGGTGACCTTTGGACAGGCTGTAGGGCCGCAAATATTTCCTGAATGTTTACGGGGATCTACGCCTGAATAGAGAAGGTGACTGAACTAATTCCTCATGCTCAAGTACTTAAGATATGGCTGAGTTGACCTCATAAAACTCAAGTGACAAGATGTGAAATGTACACAAATACAGATCCACAGAAGCTGAATGTATCCACATTAACAGGTGGTCTGACAGACTGAAATAAAATTTTACACACCTAAAATACAAACAACAATGTCTTGATAAACATGCATTACTGTAAATGCATTTACCTTTGCAGTGGTTTTATTTCATGGTAGAAGGGAACAGGAGGTTTTTGAGCTGTTTTTAGTTCGTGGTTGAAACAATTCTATAGTGCAATAGAACTATAAAACACATATTCGCAGTGTTATGACTTTGTGGTAAGAGGTCACTGCCAAAACAAAAACAGAGTGATAATTTCTGCGTTTACAGTACTATCAATTGAAGAGCTACAAGGACTTTGCAATGTCCATGAAGGATTTTTGTGGTGTGAAAGTTACCCGAGTAAATGATTGACAACCATTACTCCATGTGAATACAAAAACAGGTAATTACATGTTTGCTACAACAGTTAAGGTAGTCATAAAGACTAGAGACATTAAAATAAGAATCACTGATGCCTACCTTTAGTTCATAGTATTTGTCCTACTGGGGTAGACATAATCTTACAGAGAGAATTGGGAGCCTGAGAAAAACACCTGGATAGGAGGCCTTCTCTCTGTTTAACATAAAGACCACAATAGTCACAGGTAAGCCTGGGGGTACGTCTGGCCAGGTTGGATCGCTTGTTGTCTGCACGTTATTATGTGCTTTGGTTACATTATGCGGGTAGTATGTGTTGTCTACAAGATACCTGAAACCAGCAATGTGGTCCACACTGACAGATAGTTGGCATTTTTCTTTTAAATAAAGGAGGGACGAGACCGGAAGGGAGGAGGTGGACAGAAGTTTGAATCACCTGACGTGAATGCAGTTAGACAGACATCACGGACAAAGGAACACACCTTCGCCTAGATGACTCATGATCATCTGTGGCACAAACAATTTTGTGTAATCAACTATATATAAACATGGCAATCTTAAATATATCACCGGAACACCAGTGTTTAGCAAGAGAGGTACAGATTTTATGTGAATCGTCTAGAGCTTTCCTTAAGATGCCTGAATAGCTTCCTGGAAGAAATTTGTGCTGTGTTCACCACTGGTCAGTCTTTCAGTATGCACTCCACACCACCCTGGATGGTCACAAACAAGTTGCCAAGGGCAAAGCTGACATTGAATTCAAAGTAGTGATGTTGTTTCCAGTTGTACAGTAAACTGGTCTGACCCCAACAGCAGCCATAGGGCACTGGCTACACCAACAGAATGGATAAAATGCCCCTCCCCCTTAAGAAATGCTTGGCCATGTGTGTGTGTGTGTATAGAGTGTGTACAGTGTGTATGGAGTGCATAAACAGAATATGCTCATGACCACAGAAAACAAACTGACCTACACAAGTGAGTGTGTATATGATATGGGCTACATTATGTATTGTGCAGTACATTGAACTTGCCACTGCATACTCAGATAATTCTTCATAAATGTTAATATAACATGATGGTCTGTGTTGCTTCAAGCAGATATTGGGAGAGAAGATTATGTTTCTGACTGTTGTGTCTTTCAAACTGCAAGAAAAATGGGGCAACCAAGAAGAGTTCTATCCCAGCAATATTTACCTGTAGATCACTATCTATGTAGGTATTTCAAAGGGAACATTGCTGGCATACTTAGTAGCATTTGTATGTAATGTCTTATTGCCCATTTGTAAGTACGATATGCATTAACATCGCCGCTTTAGTTATCGCTGACTACATGTATAGCCAACGTTACGGGCAGTGGCCATTTCAAAATCACTATTATGTACATACAGACAATGAAACCACTTATTATCCTGTATAGATTGAGACACTGTGACCCTGTACAATGGGGAGGGGTAGGGCATGATGGGAAAGGTAAACACGTCACTTCTACTCCAAGTCTTTCTGTCTTCACACAATGGCTTCTTAATGGAAACCGCCAAAAACAAAGGTCGTCTGAATATCGATGTCCTTATTAATTCAGCTACGTTAATCTAGAAAATACCAAGGCTGGGCCCTGACAGTGTAGAGTCGTTTGATCTCCGCCTACAAGTTATAATTATTATGAAGAACACACAAAGGTTTTACACTCCGACAAGCTTACCTCCCAACAGTTGACTAAACATCGGCTATGGCAAGTATCATCCCCACCCTGAAGGTGTAAACAACCGACCACAGTGCACTCGTGTCGTCAGAACAGGGGAAACGTGCGCTCTGGGCGACAGAAAACAGACTGCTGAGTCGTCGCTGAGTTTTCACCAACAGCCATGCAAACAAACTCGAAGTGACATGCTAATAAGGGCAGAGTGACCAGACTGGGCTGTCAACTTGTGCCGGGCCCGGCGGTACCGGTGTCGATATGAATACTAACACGACTAGCTGTAGGCAGAATTAACGTCTAACTGACAGAAGGTGATAAGGGACATTGTCCAGACAATGTTTCTACCGGGATAAGGTCGACTGCCCTCCTTTATATGAAAAACAGTTTACATTACTACTCTGGAACACGAGCAAAGGGAGATTTAATAGTCTCACACATCCCACTCCCAGTGTAAATCATAAGGAGCTTCAAAACCACAATCTAATTTTGACCACTTTGCTTAACACAAGAAAATAACTGTAGTCGTAATTTTTCGGTCCCAAAGACCGTCTCTCACTCTCTGGAAAACTTTGAGTTGAAAACTACCCAGTTTCTAAACTAGGTCACCCCCTGGGAAGCGCTAAGCCAATGTTGTTTCATAGGGGCGGGCAACTACCTGTGAATCCGTAAATAAACAACACACATGGGCCTGCTCACGATGTAGGTCAGAGTTCGTGCCACGGAATGCTATATCATAATGTAGAGTCCAGACAGCAAAAGTCAACTTGGTAAGGCACAGTCGGCTTGTCAGCAGTTTCCAGGTCTGCCGTAGCAGTCTTATTTTTTATCATCGGTGCCAGGATGAATTCTGTGCGCGAAAACGTCTTGAAGGGTCAGCGCACTCCAAATCTGAAACGGTGACCAGAGCCAGATATTCCGTCACGCACTTCCACCGATTTGGCGGTCTTGGCAGACCTTGAAAGGAATGATCTCATGGCTATGAAATCGACATGCATGCAAGACTGGTAACGTCAGCCTTACACCACCGACTCCTTGTCATTCCATTGTGACTGATTGTCCTTGCGTGGCCCCTTGTCAAAAACACCTAAACACTCTGAACAAAAAGCAGGGGATTATCATAATAACCGTTGGCTTTAGGGATTCCCCCAGTCATCTGATATAATATAGCCAGCCTAGGTGGGCTGTACCGCTTCTTCATCTACACAAAAACGAGAGAAGGACCGTTTTTATGCCGCACGTAGCGTGTTTTGCGCATGGCCACCATCGTATTGACAATGGACAGTGCGTGCAACAATGGCAAAGGTGTAGATACAGTTCATCATAAAATACACTGACTCCACAATCCGGTACTGTTGTTGTCTCTACTTGGCTGGTATTCAGATTCTTGTCAATCCGAATGGTACACTATTCGTAGAATCCAGGATGGGAGGGGAACAACGAGGTGGGACGGGGCGGGGCAAAACAAATTGAAGGGAAGCACAGACAATGACTAAGAGCCTTGTCAATGCCACGCGTGTAATGAGGCAGTCTGTGTTTTTGATAAACAAGAAGGCATTTCACATGCACTGTGGAAATGTGTTTAAAATTGTGTCAAGGCTTTGCTCCATACCTTTCGGTAAAATAAACGTGCATGTGCATGTTACGTCACCCGTCGTCCACGGTACCCGATTACTCGAGTGAGAGAAATATACCGTGCGGCGTGCGTCGCTGTGGTATGGTATGGCCAAGGACATTTTATAGGACCTTGGCCTGGCAACGACTGTATATTTCTGAACCAGTGAAAGACGAGGAAGGACATCTGGTCAGAAAGACAGTCAGAGAATCAACCACCTGTTTGATCAGACTGTAAACAGCCAGGCCCGACGCAATTGTTTCCTCTCGATGTTTATCTATCACCTAGGATTCTTAAAGGTATACTCATCGTCTCGCCTACGTACAGTACAGGTCATCGTTGTGACTTCATACGTAGGTCCACGTCTGGCAAGATGGAACTGACGTTAACGTGAAACTGCGTCAACTCCGTTAATAGCAATGGTTGGTCGGAAAGTATCCAACCTTTAGCAGTATTAAAGTCTGGGGCACCGTTGGATGATATCAATACAGCCCCTGAACTGTATTTGCCAATTCGAAATTCTATCCTGGCTGTAACGCAATACAATCTCATTCCAAATCGTGCACAATGAAGACACTTCATTTACTACTACCGTGAGCTGAAAAGAAAAGACATGAGAAGAACTTACTGCCTGGTCCTTGAAGTGAACCAACAGTCTCCCCGCTTCTCGCTGGAGCTCTACACTCTTTACCGGCCCACCGCCAGACAAAGGTCGGTTCTCAAAGTAAGCTTTCAACGTGTCAGAGATAAAGCCCGGGTCCAGACCCGGCGGAATCCCATTGGCGACTATTATCCGGTCCTTCAGGACGTCCATCTCAGAAGGGGCGCGATTGGTGACCTAATACTTAAGGAACGCGGCGGGTAATCTCCGACAAAACTCGCGGGCTTCCATGCGTCCATTACCGCCGCCTAAGGTGTATCGAGCGTCGACTGTCTTGATTGGCCAATGACCCAGAAAGGTGAAAGTGCATGCGAGAAACCGCAGCGCGAGCGAACGTCCCTGGCTGTATAGTACGTATAGGCGTGGTGGGAATTCCAAATGTCGCGTTCTGTGTAAACAATGTACGGCACGGTTTATAATTGTTTCACCGTTCCACCCCCCGGGGTTGAGACGGTTTTAATACGGGTTAGGTGAAGTGATTTTCCGCAGGATTAGAAATCTTCCCCGCGCACCTGGGATCCTCGCCGCGCTGACGTACCCAGGTGGGGCCAACTGAAATGTACGGCCAAGGACATTATACAGTCTCTGGTACGGCCATAAATTCTACCGCGATCAATGGACCCAAGCGGTCATTAAACCAAGATTGATGGACGCCGTTTGAGCTGATGTTTACTGGGTTCAGCGTGAACTCTGACTCTTGGCAGATCACAACTAAGATACAGGCCGAGACAAATTAGTCAATCTAGTCAGACTTGCCGGAGGCTTGAATTGAAACAGTTTTATTTATTTGTCTATACATGTATGCATATATTTATTTGTACAACTAATTATGTATAGAACTCATACAGTGGTACCAAGGAGGTTTTACTATTGGTACCGTAAGGTACCACCGAGTTACATACCTCAGACATGGCCCTTTGTGTGTGCATGTATGATACACGGGCGGCCATGTCAAGACAATTGTATCATGATTAAATAATGTGTCCTGCACAGTTATCCTCACGTGGATGAGGCAATGACAAACGTTTGTAGGTGCAGAAGTCCACGAGGAGTGCAGTTTCTCACAGCCTGTTTCATGGAATAACTGACGTAAGGCGGGGACGGGTATAATTAACGTTCCGTCACTGGAGACACTAAAACGCTTCTGTCCTCTTCCTCAAGTTAAATGACGTTTTCACGGTACTTCCAAGTACCGTCCCTAGTAGATACTGCCACAATACGTATAATTATCCCCGAGTTAGTAGAAGGGAAATGACGGCTTTTCTGAGGTCAACCACATTAATTAGACACAGGCTAAGAAACTGATTGAAGCCAATGACGGATATCCGATATGCTACGACATGCGTGGTGAGGTAACCTTGTTTAAAACGCACGGTGATTACAATAATGCGGACCTTGTGAAATATTTAGGCAAGACTACCATTAGAGAACGATACTGTTCTCATTAGCCAAGGCGCGCATTTATATATAGGTGAAAATTACATGTCCCTAGGCCGGTTTAAATGTCATCATTTTACGCCTGATCGATGAAGAGGGCGGGACGTTAATAACGCCCCTGGGCAGCGTGCACGGGTCAGGGCCACAGTAGACATATAATCACTATTTATGTCACATATACGGCCGGAGACGTGCATATATTTTGCCGGTTTATGTGTGCTTCAAACACCCCCTTTCTACTAGAGGCTGCGACCACCGAGCTACCGCTGAGCAACTTTGACAGATACTCAGCGAATTTGATTAAGAACAACTTCTCATATAATTACATTTCGTGTGCTTCACTTAGTTGTCTTTCAAATCATACTTGTACATCTTGCATCATATATTCATATATGAAATAAAATCAATGGTCGCACAAATTCAATTTTTGACCAATGTATAGTCGATTGCCGTCTAGTGGAATGGGGCGTAGCGCATTGCGAAAATTTAAATCTGCAACCCATAACGGAAAAATGATTGGCCAGGGTCACAGTGGCGGAAAGGCTCGTGGCGATATGCATACATCATCACTCATTCATCTGTCACGTATGTCGGAATAATGTCAAGGATACGCCGAACCACGAGTCAGATCTCATGGAGACTGGAACCAGAACTTGGGCCATTCTTTACATGCTGGGCATGAAATGGGTAGACTGGAACAAAAGGAGCTCTGTCCTGGTCTACGTGCTGACCTGGACATTTTACTTACATATCAATGCCGGAAATTCGTTCATTCCTATGCACATATACGTATATATATGTCACAGGGGAGATTGGAATCCAGGGGAATCCGGAACTCCCCTAGGGGAGATTGGAATTCCGATCTCCCCTAGGGGAGATTGGAATCCCTATCTCCCCTAGGAGAATCCGGAACTCTCCTAGGGAAGATTAGAATTCCGATCTCCCCTAGGGAATTGGAATTGAAGTTTTTCTTCACAAACTGGGATCTGAATATCTGAATT